TACCCTTTCTTTTTCTCTCTCTGGAGTGCACACGTTCTATAGCAAAAATATAAAAAAAAATTTTTTTTGAAGTATTTTTACAAAGTTAGGATTTGGAAGCGAATTAGGGTGTGTGTGTGTGTGTGTGTGTGTGTGTGTGTGTGTACTCCCACCCACCCTACCTCCAGCCATGGAGCATAAATTTGATGGTAGCTGAGAACTAAAGAAAAAAATTTTCTGACAAATGAAACTAATATATTAACCAATTGGGTGCATGACAGTGTCCTGCCTTTTCATCAGATTCCAGAAGAAAGAAAGCATTGGGCTCTCTGAGATTTTGTTCCCAAGCTAATTAGTACATTTACAGTCCAATAACCTTGAGCCAGTATCTTTTCTGGCTTACACTCTGGGTGCGACCTGCCAGCACTGTTTCAGGGGCTTTATGTAAATCAGCAATGCACTTCTCCAATAACCCTGAGAGGGGCTTCTGATGGGCAGAATTCTAAGGATGCCCAGCCTCCGAAGATTCTGATACTGATTAGTCAAACAGTGATCTATCTAGGTACTGCCCTGGGGGGACCTTGCAGATGACTGTGTCTTCAACCACCCTATGGGAGGCAGAATTCTAAGGATGCCCTGCCCTCTAAGATTCCCACCCACAGATAATTTAATGAAACAGTCCTGTCATGTAGGGACCTTGTACTGTCACGTAGGGCAGTGGAGACAGGACAAAAATGTGGATGGCCTCTATAGAAGCTGAGGGGTAATTTCTTGCTTTTTGTCTGTTTCTCTGGCTTTCTGGTGAGCACATGCGCCCTATAGCAAAAATCAAGAAAATAGGACCGGCATGGAACTGAGTTTTGCCAACAACCTGAATGAGCGTGAAAGCAGGTTCTTCCCCCGAACCTCTAGTGAGGTCAGCGTCCTGCCATCACTTTATCCATGCAGTTGTAGGTTAGAAAAGATGAAAGAGACGTGAGCACTCCGGTCTGTGTAGCTCCTTGACTGGATTGTGGTTGTAGATGAGGAAGGAAATAATTTTAGAGAATACTGGTAAACAACAGGACATTTTAATTTGGTCTACTAATTGGTAATAGTGTTAAATTTCCTGAGTGTGACTGTGTTGGTTATTTAGGAATATGATTTTATTCTTAGGAGATAAATATTCAAGTATTTAGGAAAGATGTATCAGTGCTACAATGTAGGCAGAGATAAAAGTATAAAACCTTGGGACCAGCAGTTAGCGTAATGGCTATGTCGCTGGACTCCCACATAGTTGACAGCTGTTCGTGTCCCG